AAAAAGATACTAGCAATCAAAATGAAAAGGTTGACTCAGTAAACAAGTAGCAGGAGTTTTCTTGTGAAAGAAGAAACTTACCTTCGCCAGACTTTGACCTCTCAAAATGTGATCGCTGCACCCAGTCAAGTCCAAGTATCTTAAAGATATCAACCCACTGAGACCTTGTATCTCAATCAGCTTCTTACAATTTCTAAGATCCAATTTCTTAAGTTGAGAAAGGTGAGAGAGATTGGGTATAATTTGCAATGATATGCAGTTGGATGCATCCAAAGTCTCCAAAGCAGTGGGAAGTTCCTGGATAGCTGAAAGCTCACCACAGTCTACAACATCCAATCTTCCTAGTTCAGAAAGTTGAGATAGCTTGGGCAATACTTGCAAGCTTTTGCATCCGGAAGCATTCAGATATTTCAAACTGTTGGGAAGCTCAGGGATAGCTACCAGATGCTCACAATTACAAAAATGCAGCTCCTCTAGTTTAGAAAGGTTAAATAGCTTGGGCAAGGTTTGCAAACTTCTGCATCCATAAGCATTAAGATATCTTAAACTGGTGGGGAGATCAGGGATAGCTACCAGCAGCTTACAATGAAGTATAGACAATGTTTCTAGTTTCGAAAGGCCCCTCATGCTACTGGGCAGGCCTTTGATATTGTTTCCACTGAGATTCAGGGTTTTCAATGAGAATAACTTTTCAAAATCATCAGGAATCATCCCCTTCAGGTTACAATATGATACATCCAATGCCTCCAAGGAGCAAAGATCTGAGAAAGTAGATGGAAGCCTTGTCAAACTACTGCCGTATATGTCAAGAGTCCTTAAACTTTTAAGACTTCCAAAGCTTTCTATGAGTTTTTTTAACTGTTTCGAACCCCGCATAGATAAGTCTTTCAAGTTAGAAAGACATCCAAAATCATCGGGTAATGTGGTTATGGCAGTTTGCTGCATTCTTAGGCAATGCAGTGACCTCATCCTTCCCATTGATACTGGCAATCTACTAAGTTCCTTGCATTGAGCCACATTCAACTCCTTGAGCTTCGCTAGTGAGCCTAGCGAATCTGGCAATTTTTTGAGGTTCAAGCAGTCTTCAAGATTCAGATAAACTAAATTCCCTAGACAAGCTATGGAGTCAGTAATCTCAACCAAATTGCAGCATCCTCCAAGATTCAACTTCTCCAAGTTAGGGTATAGAGAACATCTGGGAATTCTCTGTAAGTTATGACATCTGAGCTTGAGAACTTTCAACTTTGGGAACAGCTGTGCAGAAAACAAAAATTCTTCAGAAAGGAAGATAACAACCATGACAGGTTTCAAATATACAAGGAAAGAAAAGATAAAGGATAATGACACAAGACAAATGTTAAATGTAAGTTAAGTACCACACCTGTTGGATAATAATGTCTGAAATTTCAAGGATACAGTCATTGTTTGACAAGTCAAGGACAGCTAGCTCCTCATAACTAAGATCACCTAGGAGGTAATGTAAAGGACAACCCTGCAATTTTAACCACACTAATTTTGGTGAAATGGATTTGAAGCTTCCAATAAGAGAGACACCACTGATGCTAAGTAGCTTCAGATTGGTCATTGGTTTAAATGTTTCAAGTTCCCAACTCCTCTCCAATTCATTCCCCTTGAGCATAAGGCCTCGAACCTCCAGAGTTCCCTAATCGACAACAACAGTAAATGTCAGAACAATATGCCAAAAAATGTATCTAACCATATTATCTTTTGATGAAACCAAGTTAAATTGATACCAATCAAATAATTCATTCAATGTTTTCCCCAACAAGAGAAAAGTAAGCTTATTTAAGAATTTCTCACCATGTGATACTTCAATACAGTAGTGACATCTTCTTCAGACCATAACCTACTACGCCTTCCAGGATCATCCAGGTTTTCCAGTTCAACAATCCGTCTCCCCATATCACGAAGTTGGTCGTGCATCCACAACTCATTCTTATTATTAATCTTTATGAGTGCCCTTTGCAATAATTTCCTTATGGAACCTGCAGCAGGGAAACGACAACCTTTCCATATGTCAATTGCATAATCCTTGTCGTCCCCAATAAAGAAGCACGCTATGTCAAGAAATATCTGTTTTGTTTCTCTGCTCAAATCATCAAAACTTATTCTCAACTTTAGCATGACTTTATCTTCAGGAATTCTTTTCAACTCTGTTATTGCGTCTTCCCACTCTTCAATGCTTGTCAAGTCACATAAGTAATATCCTAGAACTTCAAGTGCCAAGGGCAGCCCACCAGCAATGGATGTCACGTCCTTAGAGAGCTGCACATATTCTTGCATCGGTTGATTCCTCTTGAACGCGCACCAACTAAAGAGCTCAAGAGATTGTGTGTCATCCAATACCTTGAGCTCATAGATATGATGACTATCCACTCTCTTATGCACATTTAACACGTGCTCATCCCTAGTAGTGATGATGATCCGACTTCCTTGAGAATACCAATCACAGTTACCGGCCAATTTTTCAAGCTGGTCCTCGTTGTCAACATCATCAATTACAACAAGAACTTTTTTAGACCCAATTCTAGCCTTAATAACATTGATGCCTCTATCAACACTATATATATTTGGAACTCCTTCATTAAACAGTTCCTGAAGAAGTTGTTTCTGCAAGCTGACAACTCCGTCATTTGTTTTTGAAGATTCTCGAACATTTGAGAGGAAACATCTGCCTTCGAAGCTGGAACATATTTTGTTGAAGACTGCTTTGGCAAGAGTGGTCTTACCAATGCCACCCATGCCATGGATTGCAATCATCCGAGCATCATTAGCATCAATGTCTAAGAGTCTCATCACATCAGCCACCCGAGAATCAAGCCCGATAGGGTAATCAGCGACATGCAATTGTGTTTCATAGTCCAACTTTGTAGAAACATGGTTAACAAGTTCCTCAATCAACTTTGCCTCAGTCCTACAGAAGATCTCTCCTCATTAGACAATTAAAAAAACAAATGAACTTCTTTCCATAAGCAGATGAGCAAAATCAGCATCTTAAAACCCATCGATTTCTGATTTGGATCATTGGGATGGGAATCGTCAAGACTAAACCGGTACCAAGATGGTATGGGT